CAGCAGCGCGGGCGGACGTGGTGTGGATGGGACTACCTCGCCTAATAAACAGCGCTGGTGCTTGGTCCTGACAGGGGGGGTGAGGAGGAGGATATGGGCGGGGTGGGAGGATAGGGAAGAGGACGGGAGGAGGATGGTCAGGGAAGGAGTGGTGGGGAGGGGGAGGGATACACAGGGGTTAAGGAAGGCGGCCTTGATAAGAGGAGCTCTTCCCTTCCCCCATTCATCTCTGTATTCTTCTCTGTTTTTCTCTCTCTCTCCATCCATCCATCCATCGACACATCCCTCTATCTATCTTTCTTTCTATCTATCTTTCTCTCTCTCTCTCTCTTTCTCTCTCTCTCTCTCTCTCTCTCTCTCTCTCTCTCTCTCTCTCTCTCTCTCTTCTCTCTCTCTCTCTCTCTCTCTCTTCTCTCTCTCTCTCTCTCTCTCTCTCTCTCTCTCTCTCTCGCTCTCTATCTATCTCTATCTCTATCTCTCTATCTCTCTCTCTCTATCCATCTATCTATCTATTCATCTTTCTATCTATATATCTTTATGTTTCTCTCTATAAAGGGTAATTAACCTTCTACGTTAATACTAGTTGGCAGAAGTGATACACAGTAGAGTGGAATAAACAGTAGAAAGTACGAGTAGAAATAAACACGATATGAGACGTCAGCGCTGGGCGGATCCGCGGCCAGCCCGTCCTGGCGAGGCGTCGGCGCGGTCAGCGGAAAGGCCGGGTCACTCTCAGAGAGACTGTGTCTGAGTGAGGCCTGGGTCAACCTGCTGATGACCTCTTATAGGGCCGGTCGCGACCCAGGCTGGCCTGGGTTATATTTAGATGCAGGCGGACATCCATCCTCCACACAGGTACAAGTATGGCCATTGTACACCATATTGCTCGGCCACCTAATCACGCTTCGCCCTCGAGGCTTCATTTGATTTGCCTCAAGGGTGACCCATCATCAGACCCGATCTGCCGGTCATCTTGTCTTCGTTTTCTTGTCCTTGATCCTCCTTGCCAGCCTCTTCTTCCTGGTCCTCGGTGAATCCATCCGTCCTTGACCTCCACACGTCCTCGAAGGTCTTCCTCGACTTCGGATCATCCATACTTCCTCGTAGTCTTCTACCAGGTGTTACTCGGTGGCGTATTCGTCCACGCGTCCTCGCAGATCTCGTCCAGGTACTTTCTGGCATCTGAGGACAGCTTATACCTGCGCTGATGAGTTCCTTGAGATTGACCGGATCTACGGGCGTCCAGGCAGGTGGCGGCTCTCCGAAGCATCCTGGGGCAACTGACACCTGCACTAATGAGTTCCTGGTCCTCAGGCCTACAGCTATCTTCCCGCGACTTCTGTCCCTAGGCATTCCAAGGCAACTGTGGCTGCAGCTAGGTCTCCTTCAGTGCCGTGTCGGATATCCACGATCCATCGAATATATTATCAAACCAGATCATACACGGGACAAGATATTATGAGAAAAAGAAAACATCAGATGTTAAGTGCTACTAGCCGGTGTTTTTTCATATAATAATTTGTAGTTTTTAATTTTCGTTATTTTACTTATTTTCGTTGTTTTTCTTTTTCTTTTTTTGGCTGTAATTTTCAAGAGGAAAATAAGTGAGGGAGGTAGGAGTATCGATCCTTCTTGAGCGACAAACCATCTCAGATAGATATGAGAGTAGATAAGGGAAACAGCAATGGCAATCCACAAGGATTTACTTGAAGTGACTGTCGTCTCATAGAGAAAGAAAAAATATGTAAATGAGAATTGTGCATCATTATCACTCATCATGACTGGCAACATCGCGGCCAAAAGAAATAAGCTGCAACTATGACACAACAAATCCTATTAATGGAAGTTTCAGTGTCTTTTGTTCTGCGTGGATAAGCAGAATTTCGGAGGCGAGTTCGTGTTTCAAAGCCAAAAGGTTGAAACTACCATCCTGCCACTACATAAAAGGTGATGAACCTTCTACATTGACACTGGTGGGGCATAGTTATTATATCTGATAGGAGTGACTTTATTCTTAAGGTTACACATGAGCAAAAATAAACGATACAAGACATCAGTGCTGGATGGCAACCACGGTAGGATGCCATGGTGAGGTCAGCCACCGTCCTGTGGAAATGGAGTGGAATCTCTTGCTGATGAGATCCACCTGCCAGGGGGGCCCCTCATAATGTACAATGTGTACAGCAAACTACTGTGTGACAGCTTAGATCTAAACCAGGTCTGTGCTACGGCAGCATATGACCGAACGATCCTAGGGAGAGATTTCAAAGCACATCTGCCCATGCTGGATCTCAAATAGAGGCCAAATCCAGCAGGCATTCACATAGCTGATGTGCTTGGCACATTCCCTGAGATCAGTCTTCTGATCACCTAAGAGCCTACATATGTGAAGGGAGAGGTCTTGGACCTTACCTTTGCCAAATAACAATGGTGGAGAGAATTTGGTGTCAAGGAAACCGTTACAAGCAATTACTATGGCACAAGCACTACCCACTTGGATGCTGGTCCAGCCTAAAGACCACAACACATTCCCAAATGGAAAACCGGCAAGCTTTCCAGAAGGGCTTGGCCCACTGACATAGAAGCAATGAACCCCCACACAGTGAAAACATGGATGTACTTGAGACAAGACTTGTCTAAGCTATAAATCAGGCAGCCTTTCAGACTATCCCCAAAACTTGCCCATGTGCATCATGTGCTTGCGAAGGTAAAAAAATCCCCACAACTTAGCCCTCTTAAGGGAAGTTGTTGAGTATGCCAAGGAAACTGCCAACAGAGTCAAGCAAGAAAAGTGGCTGGAATGGTGCGAGTCCTTTGGTCATCAGGCCACTCTCTTACAGTTATGGAAACGGGTCAGGCGAGCTACCAGCCGCCAAGCCCCGAGATACACGCATCATGACCCTTAATCAGAGGCACACAGGCTGGTGTTCTTGTCCTTAGCCAGAACCAGCAGCAACATCCTGCCTCCTGATATGAGGGCAAAACAACAGCACCTAAATCCAGGCAGTCTCTTATCAGAGACAGGGAACTCTACCCTGATGATTTGGATGCCATGTTCTCATTCAGGAAACTAAGAAAAACACATAAAACCAGTTTGGATCAGTACCAGGCTCTGATAGGATCTATCCCATTATCTCACACTGAGATCTTGCAGCCGAGCTTGCATTTCTGCTGCTCAGCAAAAAGTCAGGGCAAACTTCCATGCTACCCCAGAGCTAGAAATAAGCTATAATAGAGGCAGGTACAGATGAAATAGGTTTAATATTAACAGTTGTAAGCTGTCTTAGTACTTTGACACCCTCATCTGCACAGGTTGCATGAGCACAGCACACAGCATTGCTTTGCTCCTAAGCACAATATGCCCTATTCCCTCTGCAGTTGTATTAAGGAGACCCTAATCAACATGGGAATCAGAGGTAGACTTTTGACCTGGATAGCTGAATATTTCAACAAAAGAACAGTTAACATAAGATTCCAAGATCACCGATCTCAGCACATGCCACTACATTTCAACACCCTTAAGTCCAGCATACTCAATATACACCTGCCAGAGGGATGTAGGATCACCTCTTATGCAGACGATTTGGCAATCCTCTTCTCTGGAAAGCACTGCCTCACAAGAGCCCAGCATTGTCTGGACCTTGTGTCTGAAGAGGATGGATCTATATATTTCAACAGCAAAATCAAAAGCTATGGCTCTGAAAACCAAACACAAAACTCACTGTCCAGAGTGTGGATCTGGAATGGGTTAAAGACTATCAATACCTTGAGGTATGGATAGGCCATATACTCACTTTCAAAAAGAAGATCCAGTACCTGCTTGGCCGAAGTAAAGACTGTGTGTCATGAAATTAATGCTTGGGAGACACAGAAGTGGGGAAAATACTAACAGCAATCTATGTACAAGCTGGCTAGCCTATTGTAAAGTATGCTTCTGTTGCTCTTATTGCTTCTAGTGTAGCATCTCGCTAACAAGGGCACCCAGCTTATACATAGTTAAAATTAACTAAAATAAGCTTGATGTCTTAAAAGGTGATCTGGTAGCGTATCACTCATTAACTACATCATGTAATCTTTGGTATACGTTAGATTTTTATTTCTTTTCAATTAATCATGGTGGATAGGATGGATATTCCTTAGGCATAAAAGAAAATATTAAGAATACGAAAAAAATATAACAAACGAAGCATAAGACTGTCCACGTTATTATAAAAATCACAGAATAAAAGCACGGTATCCAACCTATACTCTGATTCCTAAAATTAGCGCTTGCACCTTATCTTTGGAGACTGGAGGTTGAGGTGGGCCGATTCATAGAGATTTCTTTTGTTCAAACAAAGGACTGGTTTGTCCAGAGCGATGCTTCCCCAACAATGGTAGGTGGCAGAATCCCCTGTGGGAAACTATTTATAGGTGTGTGGGGATTGTGGGTACTGGAAATGCAAATCTTGGAATGCGCACTGGACATATGGAATATGGATATATGTAATGGAATAGTGTATCTTAAACGTGGACATTGCAATTGAATTAAATGAACATATTACAAAATAAGACTTCTTATCATAAAATTGATACATGCGACCAATCTTCTTGTCATGTTGTGGCAACAAGCATCCTTTAATATAACAGAAGCGCCAAACATTCGTATGATGCTCTTCTTGGAGGCTGAGGGACACCTGGATCGATCTAATGGCAGTGCAGTTTCTTTCAGTCATACAGGCACCCTGGAACACACAAAAGTATTCATACGCCTACTACAAGATTATCTGCTGTTTGCTAACAACTCTTGATTCACATTGCCAGAGTGTTGATACACTTTAAGCTCAAACAACTGTTTGCCAAGGGCATGGTCTCCTCCCACCCTGACTATAGAAAACCCCCACCTTAATCGAGTTCTCCGTCTTGAGCTTGTCAAGGAGAAAATATCAATACTCTATGCCTAGCCTAAAGGCACAAGTACAAAGGATCCACCTCCTCCTGGGGCTCGGCGGCGACGTCCA